ATTGTGCCCCTTGGAGGGACCAAGTCCCCAAGACTCAGCCAGGAGCTGGGGCAACATCATCAGGTCTCCCCCCTGCTTTCTCCTGCAGCTCTTCCACTTGATCTACGCGCAGCAGGACATGCAGGACACACTCACCAAGCTCTACGTCAAGGAGTCCTACGAGTCCCGCCAGCACAGCCTGAGCAACGCGGGCAGCGGGGGCTGCCTGGAGCTCCTCCGCCTCTCGGACCCCACCGGCAAGGAGGGGACGAGCCCACCGCCAACCGAGCTGCAGGAGCTGGACGTCTTCCTGCCACTGGGCTACGAGGCCTCGGACCAGGAGCTCTCTGAGGGCTTCTCCGACCACTCCATCTCGCCGAGTGGCCGCACCAAGTCCTTCCACTCTTACAACTTCAAGTCTTTCGACTCCTCCGACCGGGCTAGCCGCTCGTCCTCCAACCCCGGTGATGGTCCTCCCTTCGATGGTGTCTACCACCCGCTCTCGCCCTTCTCCACCTCACCCTTCGACCTGGGGCTCGACCTGGCCAGCACCAGCTCCATGGCCACAGCCGAGAGCGGCACGCAGACCCCTGCCAGCGGCCCTGGCACCCCCTCACCCCTGGAGAGTTTCAAGCCCTTCCCGGGGATGCGAGCACGCAAGAGCTCCAGCCTCTCCAACGTCCTGGATGAGAGCAGCTACCAGGACACGCTGCCCAGTGACAACGTTTCCAACACCAGCAACCCCCAGGTGAGCCCCAAACCATCATGCCCACCACCCCGGGCTACGCCGGACCTCTCTCTCACCCTTCCTCTCCATTGGCAGCAAACACCTGAAGAGGAGCTGTGCAACCTCTTGACCAACATCATCTTCTCGGTGACGTGGCGCGGGGTGGAAGGCTGGGACGACGCGGCGTGGAGGGAGCGCGGGCAGGTCTTCTCCGTCCTCACCAAGCTGGGGACGGCGTGCGAGCTGGTGCGACCGCCCGATGAGATCAAGCGCAGGTGAGTCCTGCCCAGGTCCAGGTGGGTGCAGCCCAAGGGAGGACCACCCTACAGAGCCACCTGCTCTCCCGCAGCCTGCTGGAGATGATGCTGGAGTCGGCGCTGACGGACTTGAAGGAGTCGGGGCCGGCCACCGCACCCGGGCTCACCCACAATGCCCTCAAGCTGCTGCGATTGCTCCAGGACTTCTTGTTCTCTGAGGGACACAACAACCAGGCCCTGTGGAGCGAGAAGGTGGACGGGCAGGAGCAGGGGTTCCTCATCCCAAACCCGAGTTCTGAACCTTAAAACTAACCCTGAAGCTCTGATGTCAGCCCTGACCCTGACCCTAACCCTAACCCTAATCCTAATCTCGACCCTAACCCTGACCTTGACCCTACGTGCAGCCCTTGAACCCAACCTTAGGAAATAACATGTGCCTTGATCCTAAACCCTAATCCTAACCCTAATCCCTTAATCCTATACGCTAGCCCTACCCCAAACCCTAACCCCTAACCCTCGCCTGTGCCTTGATCCTAAACGCTAATCCTAACCTTAATCCCTTCATCCTAAACTCTAACCCTAACCGTGACCCTGACCTTGACCCTACCTGCAGCCTGACCTGGAAATCTAACCGCGCCTCCTAAATCCTAATCCTAACCCTTAGCCCTACATCCTTGTCATACACACTAACCCAACCCTAACTCAACCTGTAATCTAACCCTAAACCCAAATCCTAAACCATAACCTGCCTCCATGCCATGAACCCTGACCCTAACCCCAATCCTATCTCCAATCCTAACCCTGACCCTAGCCCTAGCCCTAACCCTAGTCCCAACACTTAAACCTAACCCTAACCCTGCAACCTCACTGTAGACCAAAATCCTAATCCCATACCCTAATCCCCAACTTTAACTCCTAATTTATAAATCTAACCGTATCTCCTAAATCCTAATCCTAAACCTTAACCTTACGTCCTTGCAGTAACACTTAACCCTAATCCTAATCCTAACCCTTAACCATAATCCTAGCCCTTAACCATAATTTTAACCCTTAAACCTGATCCTAACCCTTAAACTTAACTCCAGTCCTAACCCTTAACCCTAATCCCAACCCTTAACCCTAATCCCAACCCTTAACCCTAATCCTAACCCTTAAAATTAATCCTAACCTTTAATTTTAACCCCAATCCCAACCCTTCACCCCCAAAACCAATCCCAACCCTTAACCCTAACCCCAATCCAAACCCTTAACCCTAATCCAAACCCTTAACTCCAATCCTAACCCTTAACCTCAACACCAATCTTAACCCTAACCCCAGTCCCAACCCTTAACCCTAATCCTTAATCTCAACCCCAACCCTTAAACACAACCCTTAATACCAACCCCAACCCTTACCATCAACCCATACCCTGACCCCAACCCATAACCCTCGTGACGAACCTTAACTAATTTGTCGTTAGGTTTACGAGTTGGGGCTCTACCCTGACCTTGACCTTGACCCTGACCCTGACCCCTGCCCCAACCCCAGACCCACGTCAAGCAAAGCCAAGGGTGGTTGGGTGATGGAGACAGACCTGGTGGCTTCTGTGTCCTCCTGGCTGGAGAGACCCGGGGTGCACGGCTGGGCGGGGGGCTCACTGTGCCACCCCCTCCCCAGATCTACGAGGGGGTGAGCAGTCTGCTGGACAAACTGGGCGTCTGGTACCACCTGGCCAACGGCACCTCTGACCTCAAGGAGATGGCCCAGACGGGTCTACGCGTCCTCATGGGCTACATCATGCTGCAGGACCCTCAGGTGGGTCACCCTTTGGTGGGACTCGGGGTGAGACCCCGGCCCTCGGGGCAGGGCAGGTGGCCCCGTCTGATGGCCCGTGTCCCACCCCACCAGCTGCACTCGCTGGCGTACGTGAAGCTGCACAGCCTGCTGCAGACCGCCTCGGCCCCCAAGAAGGACGAGGCTTGCTATCTGCTGGGCAAGCTGGAGACCCCGCTGCGACGCTCGCTGGACGCCAAGTCGGAGACCTTCTCCTGGTTGGTGCCCATCGTCCGGACGCTCATGGACCAGTGCTATGAGACCCTGCAGCTGCAGCTCTTCCTGCCCTCGCTGCCTCCCACCAACGGCAGCCCAACTTTCTACGAGGACTTCCAGCTCTTCTGCACCACCCCGGAGTGGAGAAGCTTCATTGAGAAGCACGTGAGTGCCACGGGGCATAGGGTGGCATCACCACTGGGGGAACCTCTTCCCAGACTTAGAGATGGGTCCCCATGTCACCAGCGGGTTGGGACAGCCTGCGGAGATGACCTCCAGGGCAGGGATGGTCATAGCCTGGATGCTGGTTGGTGGGTGCCAGGCCCTGCAAACACCTCCCCTCTCGGCCTGGTTCTCTCGGTAGGTGCAGCCCACCATGGCCCAGTTTGAGATGGACACCTTCGCCAAGAGCCACGACCACATGTCCAATTTCTGGAACGCCTGCTACGATGCCATGATGAGCAGCTCCCAGCGGCGGGAGCAGGAGAAGGCGGCCAGCCGCAAGATGTTCCAGGTACTGCCTGCTCCTTGCCCCTGGAACATCACCCCGGGGATGTGCTCCGCATCCTGGGGATGTGCTCTTCACCCCAAGGATGTCAGCCAGAGGATGTGCTCCTCGCTCTGGGGATGTCATCCCAGGGATGTGCTCTTTATCCTGAGGAAGTCCTCCTGTGGGGATATCCTCCTCGCCATGGGCATATGGTCCTCAGGATGTGCTCCTCATCCTGGGGATGTCAACCCAGGGATGTTGTCTCAGGGATGTGCTCGTCACCCTGGGTACGTGCTCCTCATACCAGGGACATCATCTGGGGGTCATGGGGGTGTGCTTCTCACCCCAAGGATGTCATCCCAGGGACATACTCGCTCTGGGGATGTCATCCTGGGGACATGCTCCTCACCCAGGGACCTGCTCCTCACCCTGGAGGCGTTAATCCTGAGGATGTGCTTTTCATCCTGGGGATGTCTTCTGAGGGAGATCCTCCTCACTCCGGGGACATCATAGAATCATAGAATCATAGAATGGTTTGGGTTGGAAGGGACCTCAAAGATCATCCAGTTCCAACCCCCTGCCATGGGCAGGGACACCTTTCACTACACCAGGTTGCTCAAAGCTTCATCCAACCTGGCCTTGAACACTTCCAGGATGGGATCATCCTCAGGATGGGCTCCTCATCCTGGGAACATCGTTCTGGGAACAATGCTCCTCATCTCGGGGATGTTCTCATCATCCGAGGAATGTGCTTCTCGCCCTGGGTGCATGCTCCTCACCCTAGGGACATCACCCTGGCGATGTGCTCCTCGCTGTGAGGCTGTCATCCTAGGGACATGCTCCTCTCCTGAGGGACATGCTCCTCACCCTGGAGACATTAATCCTAGGGATGTGCTCTTCATCCCGGGGATGTCATCCTGGGGACCTGCTCCTTACCCTGGGGACGTTGTCCTCAGGAAGTGCTCCTCATCCTGGGGACCTTGTTTTGGGGACATGTCCCTCATCCCAGGAACATCATCCCAGGGGTGTGCTCATTATCCTGCGGGCGTCATCCCAGGGATGTGCTCCTCACCCCAAGGACATCATCCTGAGGATGTCCCCCTTGTCCTGGGGTTGTCACCTCATGGACAGACTCCTTGCCTCGGGGATGTCCCCAAGCCCCAGCCCTGCTGTCACTTCACTCTCCCACTCCCTTGGCAGGAGCTGGTGCTGGAGCCGGCAGCGAAGCGTGCCAAGGTGGAGAACACCCGGCACGCCAACGTGCTCAAGCAAGCCAACAACCACCACGGCACCGTGCTCAAGCAGTGGAGGTCCCTGTGCCGCCTCCTCACCTCGCCGCGCTCTGCCTGGGCTGACCGGTGAGCCCCACCTCGGTCTCTGGGGAGGGTGGCATGGCTGGGGGTTCTGGGGTGACTCACCCCCACCTGTCCCCCAGGAACCCATCGGAGGTTCGCTGGAAGCTGTCGAGCGCCGAGACCTACTCCCGGATGAGGTTGAAGCTGGTGCCCAACCTGCATTTTGACCAACACTTGGAGGCCAGTGCCCTACGGGACAACCTGGGTGAGACCCATGGGAGCCGGGAGCTATCGTGGACCCCGTTGGGTTTGGGAGGTGGTATGGGGGCCCCTCACAGGACTTGGGTCCCCACAGCTGGGGGACAGGTTGGCCTGCTGACCCTCTCCTCGTTTCAGGAGCTGACCACCTCCACAACCCCACCGAGTCCCTCCCGCTCGCCATGGCCAAGGAGGCCAAGGTGAGCGAGTTGGAGGATGATCAACTGGCCGAGGAGGACCTCCCTGTCCTGGACAACCAGTGAGCGTCTGCATCCCCTGCCATGCCACTGGCTCTCCTAGGCTGGGGGTGACGCCAGGGTCTTCTCACCCCTCCGTGTCACCCAGGGCTGAGCCCAAGGAGCAGAACCAGCGGGAGAAGCTGGTGGTCTCAGAGGACTGCGAGCTCATCACAACGGTGGCCGTCATCCCTGGACGCCTGGAGGTGACGACCCAACATGTCTACTTCTACGACGGCAGCAGCGAGAAGGAGGAGACGGAGGGAGGTAACAACACGTGCGCCTCGGGTGGTCCCTGCAGCAAGGCGGGATTAGAAACCTCCCACCCATCCCATCTCCTCTGGAGACCCATCACACCAGGCGCTGGTCATTTTGGGAGTGGGCTCCATCCCTGCCTTGGGAATGGGGATCTGGATGGATAGTGACACCCATGGGGCTCTGCATCCGTGTGTTCCCCCCCCCCATCTCGGCAGGGATCGGCTACGACTTCAAGCGTCCCTTGTCCCACCTGCGCGAGGTCCACCTGCGCCGCTACAACCTGCGCCGCTCCGCGCTCGAGCTCTTCTTCATCGACCAGGCCAACTACTTCCTCAACTTCAAGAAAAAGGTGGTGGCACCTTTCTCCCAACCCAGAAGCCCCCCCCGGGGCCACGGCACTGCCCAGGCTCCGGCTGCTTCACGTCCTCCCCACCCATTCCTCCAGGTGAGGAACAAGGTGTACTCCTGCATCCTTGGCCTGCGTCCCCCCAGCAGCCGGTCGCCCCAGGAGCTGCTGAAAGCCTCGGGGCTCACCCAGGTATTGGTCCCCCCCTTGCCCACCCCACCCCATGTCTCCTCTTCCCAAATGGCAAAGGGGAGGGTGCCAGCGTGGGATGGGGATGACCACGGCACCAGGGATGGAACTAGGGATGACCATAGGATGGAGATGGCTGTGGGATCCAAGATGGCCATGGGACAGGGGATGGCCATGGGATGGGGACAGCCATGGGACGAGGGATGGCCATGGGACAGGGGATGGCTGTGGCATGGAGATGGCTGTGGGAACAGAGATGGTCATGAGACAGGAGTTGACTGTGGGACCAGGGATGGCTGTGGGACCAGAGGTGGTCATGGGATGGAGATTTTTTGGGTGGGGACAGCTGTGGTACCAGGGATGGTCTGAGACCAGTGATGACCATGGGACAGGCACAACCATGGGGTGGGGGTGTCTGGCCCGTTCTCCTGCCCTGCCCTGGCCCATCTCAGCCACCCTCCCTTCCCTCCAGAAATGGGTCCTACGGGAGATCTCCAACTTCGAGTACCTCATGCAGCTGAACACCATCGCAGGACGCACCTACAACGACCTCTCCCAGTACCCCGTGGTGAGCCCC